GGCTGAAGAATGGGCAGAAATGGGGCGAGGGTGAAAGGGGGAGTGGGGAAGACGACTTCAGTTACAGGCCCGGGCTGGGGCTGTTTGGGGCGCCGAGGACGGGGCGGTGGCCGTGCAGCGTATCCGCTTACATTCGTGTCAGCGAGAAATGGGAAGTGTGTGTGGCCGTGACGAACGACGGCGCCGATGCCCCTCGGCCACAAGGACAGCTGTAGGCAAACCTCCCAACATGCTTGGAAATAAAGCGGCGCCTTCACGGCTCTTAGGGTGCATTTTGGCATGTCTTGGGCTGGAGAAGCTTCTCCACACAGCAATGCATCCAGAAGCAAATGAAACCCACAGGAGTCAACCGTGTTTTCTGAAAGGAGCCCCCCTTTGAGAGGGCCGAGGACGGGCGCGTCAAGCACTGAGATGTTACTTCTTCAATTTCCCTTCGGCCTGCTGAGTTTCGAAAAATATAAATAGTTTCAGCTAGCTCCCGGTCTACGAAAATAACCCGAGAAGGAAATCTAATGAGAGGGGCATGAAAGCTATTTGGTTTTAAATCAGGGCCCACAGAATTTCAGAAAAGAAAGGGTAGAATTGGGATTTTATTTTCCTCTTCCTGTTCAGCTTTTTACTTTCTTATTTTTATACAGTCATAATAAAAAACCAAAGAGAATCTGTAAAGCAGCTGCTACCCACACACCATCTGGAAAATAAAACAGCTCTGTGATCGCCTTTTGGTGACTGGCTGCATTTCGGCTTCTTTTCCTCCTTCGATTTATATCTGATGTTTCATTTTTCACACATACGCCCCCTACAAATTAAATGCAATCTGCCTGGGGTGAGTTATTGTCAGACAACAGTGACGCCCATTTGTTTTCGTCCCCTGCTCTGATGATGAGTGTCTGATCATAAAGTGCACAGCACACAATCCCAGTCCTTCTCCCCTGAAGAAATTCCCACTACGACTTATTTTATAGAGCAAACCACAATCGGTGTCTTTCCAGTGCAATCCATAAATGGAAATGGCCTTAGTGACAAGTCTAAAATGAACTTCTGAGCTACACGGCTTCTGGAAGGCCTAAGATAAACACACTCAGGCCCGGAACACGGTCCAGCCGCGGGTCGCGAGGGGAGAGTTTCCGTGAGAAATGCAGACCGGACGAGCCCTTCTGTCTTTTGTTCTTTTGAAAGATAATCAAAAAAGTTGCGAATTGAAGCTGGGATGCTGAGTTCTTGGCTGCTGGCTACAAGAGTGTATCGTGGTGCTCTGTCCTCATGAGCCCCACCGTCAGAGAGACAACTGTAGAAGGCCAGAGGAACCCGAAGTCCCACGCGCTTGGCGGTGAGGGGGGCTTAGGACTCACACGACTCACACACACCATCATGCTCTTAAAGTTTTGTCCAAAAAGTGTTTTGATGGTAGTCAATAAATGACGAAACATTTACTTAGGGAAATTGAGGACATTTAATGGGCAGAAGCGTCCACGGACGCAAAGACAACGTCTGCACTTCGGGCATCGGGAGGTTCATTCTCGGGAATGGGTCCTCAGCGCTGCAGGCTGCTGGGAGGGCCGCTCATGACTGTGCACTCGGAAGCGTCTGCTGCCAGGGCTTGCTCCTATTTCTTAGGCGCTCGCTCCTTCAACAGCCATCGGCACTGCACGGTGAGCTTTGTGAGAGCAGGACCTCACTGACCCCACATTTCCACGGCAGCCCAGCGACCCACACGGCACGCGTGCTTGAGGAATGACGGGGTGAGCTAAAGGATGGATCTCACCCTGCCTTCATTCTTCTTCCTGAGCTGGGAAGATGAGAGGAGGGATGGTGGAATTGGCCTCGACCCTGCCTACTCCCCCTTCCTCCCACACTGGCATCTTTGCTGAGCTTTCCGTGCACCTAAAATCTCGGTGTTCCTGCGGGGGTGTACGCGAGGATCCGGGAATTACCGTTCACGCAATGCTGAAAGCGGGTGGGTTAATGATGCGAAACTAGGCATCTACTCTCACAGGCCGACGACAGGGACGGCGACTCAGAGGCGGTCGGCACAGTAACTCACGAATCACGGTCGTCTGGTCAATACGCGCCATCCTCAGCGCTCAGCCACGCCGCCTGGCATAAGCTGGCCGCCTGTCTCAAGGCCAGTTCTTCCCTCACTCAGTAACCTGCTCTCCCATGTAAGCAGCCAACGTTCCCGGGCAGGCGGTCCCAGTAGGATGTCAACAAAATTGTTCAGGCATCTGCCACATACCGTTGGCTAGGCTGGTGTCTATTTTGGGGTTTTATCCTCTTTCTGATGTCCTCAGATGGTCATTTTTGTGAGGCAGCACTAGTTTGGTAGAAGACAGTCTTGCACGTTTGCAGAAAACAAAAGACAACCTTGTTTTCTCTTCTTGGCAGCTTACATGTGACATCTAAAAATATCCTCGGGTGGACTCACTTCGAGGTGAAGAGGTGACATCATCGAAATGTCTCGACGCTCGCTAACACTGAAGCTGCCTTGGTGGGCTGGGGGTGACGTCATTCTGACACTGTCTTCATGAACAGCTATTTCTACCGCCTCACTGGCCAAGTCATTCTAGTAGAACAATCAATCAATTTAATAAACAAAATCAGTCTGACCTGAACCCAATGACTAATGAATTTGACAGTGTTGTGTAGCTGAAGGTGAACATATAGTTGAGTCAAATGTTTGGTTTATTATTTCCTAACAAAGACATACGGAAGGTTCCTTGTGAAAGACAAATGTACCCAGTCGCAGCTACTGCAACAAGGGATTCCTGCTACTGAGGCCTTTACGGCAGCCCTGGGGCGCTGTCACCTCCAGGAACAACACGCCCAAGGATCACTCACGCAAGAGGAACGACCCTGAGGTAGGTCAACCGCCAGGTTAGGGCTGAGAAACGAAAACCAAAACCACAAAAAGAGAAACAAATAGTCTTGTTCAATGGTGAACTTCAGAAGGGCAAGAACTTTGTCTATTTTACTTACTGCTTCACCCCAACACTGTACCAAAGCATAGCAAATGGTCGATAATAATAGGTGAATAAATGAATGACAGTTGAGATTCGGATGTAAAACACAGAAATTCAGATCAGGAATAGCCGAATCTGGCTGCAGTCCGGATCCCAGTCTGAGTCGGGCTGGCGGGGGTGGGCACAGACACCCTGAGAGCTGGGCAGGAGCCCACAGGGCGGGGGGTAGGACATGGAAGTTTTAGGGTTTTACTGCTCTAATGAGATGCATCTTCTATTTAATTTTAAAAGCGCCTGGGAACTCATAACGGTAGAAGAGAAAATACAAAGATGTCAGAGTCAAAAGAAACACAAAGAGGCGCATGTTTGGTGATTTATGAAGGAGGAATGAGTTGGGTGTTGTCATCAGTGATAACCATGTATTCCAGAGACACGGGTTCGTCAACATCAAAATGCAGATGACTGCATGTGCAGGAAATAAACACCTGACTTCAGAAGGAATTTCCCCTCATTTACCTTCCCTCTTACTCTGGTACATCAAAAGAAGTTTCCCTTGACCTCTTTTAACCGCTTCTGTCTGAGGCTAAAACAATTCTTTTCAGTGGCTAATCGGTCTCACGTACTATAATAATCTTTGACTAGTGCAAGAAACATACCCCGAGGAGCCTGACTCTTAATCATGCCTGATACCATGCTGCAGAATTGAGATTCTCTTGTATTTTGAACACCTTGGCCTCCTGAGAAAAGAGTAGATATCTCCACAGCAACAAGGGTCTCGCAGCGCTGACGGCTCTGAGTTCGAAGTTCTCTTCCCAAATTGTCACTAATTGGTGTTCGTCTTTTCCCTTTTTTTGGTTTAAGGTGCAGCAACACAGCATGATAACATTATAGAAGCTCAAAGCGTGCAGCACTGAACATCAGCAACTACACACAGTAGCTGACGTTCGCCACTGACGACCCCATTCTCTCCTTCACTGTGTTCTAACTGTCACTTAGAGAACAGCAGTGGTGTCAGGGGCACGGCAGCTCCCAGCCTGCAGTGACTGAATGGACAGCGCAAGGCCGGGGCTCGCTTACTGGACTCTGAGAAGCTTCTGAAGGTCACCAGTCACCTTTAAGCCCGACTGGCACTTCCCTCCCTTCGTCTCATTATTTATTAATACCTCCTTGGGGAGAATTTGTACTAAGTAATAAAAAGAAAACAGAAAAAAAAAAAAGTTGCAGAGCAGAGGACAGCTGTTTGCTGTGGTGAGGGGAGGCTGCACAGAGCGAGGCGAGGCAGGAGGCAGACACGCCCATGAGCCTTACTCAAGCACTCGCTTGCAGCGTAAGGTAATTACTAGATACATTAGAATTAGCCTTCGATGACTAATTTTTACTTAAAATAACCAAGTTATTTTTGTCCACTCAATTATATAATGGTGTAGTTATTTTCTGATTACAAAACACACACATTTTATTTTCCAATGAACAAGATAGTGATTTTGGGGGAGGGGGGTGGCTACCAGATGCCACATTTTTCAGACACCAATTTGTTATGGACATTAAAACAGTACACAGGCTGGCCCTCCCTGGTGGCGCAGCACTGAGAAGCTAAAGCCACTTCTGCATTAGTTCGATCCCCGCCTGCCCCAGAGGTGACCACAGGGCGCCGCAGACCCCTCCTGACCCGTCCCCTGCTCCCCTCAGCAGTGGACTTCATTGATCTGCCTGTTCTGCTCCCCGCTCTGTCTCTGGTGAATCCTCTCACCCTCCGCATCTCTGGCCTGTACCCCAGTTCTGTACAAATAAATAATAAATAAATCTTTTTAAAAAAAGAAAAAAGTATTTGCCTGGTGCTATGGCAGTTACTGTACCGAAAAAGAAGCCGGCTAATGAGTCACATAACACATGCCAGTAAAATAGAGAAGTTCTTGCTTTCTTTGCCACAAGCAACATTTCAAAGGAAAGTGATTGTGCCGGGGTGCCGCCAGGCCGGCTCTCCAGGAAAACGCCGCCAGCAGAGGCTGCGAGGTCAGGCTCCCACGACTGCGCTCCTACCTCAAACCCCTGCGGTCTTCCCAGGCTCTCTCTAGCATGCTTCCAGGCAACGAGAATCTCCGACACAGACACGCCGGTGGCCTGGACATCCGTGGGGGCAGCGCTGGGTTCTGCGGGGAGGAAATTGGAAACGATCAAGCTCCAGGAATGAGCCACGCGGACCGAGCAGCGTGTCTGCACCCGCGGCTGGCTTCCTTCGGCCTTATTTTGAAATGAAAGACTGCTGCAGTTATGGAAAACACAAGACCCCAAAGGATGTGGCTATCCGTGGCTCACCTGGCCAGCAAGAAGCGCGAGAAATCACAGGGCAAGCAAAGCTGATTGTTAGCCTCAGACAACCGGGATGTTCCGCAGAAAACAGGCACAAGCTGCAGGCCCGCCCTGACGCTCGGAGGCCACGCAGCGTGCTGGCTTTCCTTTATTTCTTGCGCTGTTTTTATTCCTCAAAAAATAACTGACTTGTTCATCTACTTTAAGGCAAATGCACGCACAGCTGCCTGGGCCCTGCCCCACATCAGTCGCCTGAGGCGGCGCCCTGATTCCTCAGACCGTTCACGCTCCTTCTAGTTGGAACGATAATACGCATAAAACACTCCGCGCCTCGCCTGGCGCCTGAGACGTCCACTCACAGGCGGCACTTACTACCTTCCATCTGTCGCCTCCCTCCTGCCCGGGGGCAGTCTCAGGTCCCTTCGTTTTGTTCAGGCGGCGCTGACCCCGTGGTAAGAGCCCCGTTCCAGGGCGGCACAGGCCGCTGCGATGAACCCTCGCTGTTAGAAAGGCCGCGCTGACC